TGCGTCGAACACGAAGTGGATTTTAGGCTATCCCTACTGTGCCCGTTTTCCTCAACATCATCATTAAACATGTTTTTATGTAGTACATTAATAAACAATAAATCAATGAAGTTATGTACCGGTACCCGTATCTACGTCTTGAAAATTTATTCATTTGCTTTGCTTGATCGGGCTGTTACCACATAATGCAGCGCGGGCCAGTCGGTCAGGGTTTCCGTGCTGGGTCACGTGAAACATGTACAAAGTGCTTGAGGGCGCATCATTTGTGCCTGATTTATTTTCCGGTTGCAGTTGATGCCCACCCAGTGCATGTCGATGTGACAATGCCAGCCTGTGTACATGCTCAGCTCATCAAAGAAAAGCCGTGCGCGCGACAGTAATGACTCATAATGAAGGCAAGCGTTTTTTCATCAATTTTTATTCATCATTCCTCAGTGTGTTTTTTTAATTGGCCTGCCAAAACTTTGAGATAAGCAGCTTTGGTGGTATTGACGTTTCAGATAACGGATAGTTTATTTTACGTAAAGGCCTATTCTTTTGTTGGGAATACAGAAAGACGTCGAGGTAAATGGAGTTTCTACTTTTCTACTTCCACTTATCGAGATTTTACTGTATTCAAAAATTAATTCAAAATAAGGTGATGATGTCATCATGACATCATCCATTTTATACAAATCTTGCATCAGGGTCTTTGTTGGCAAACTTTGTTGGCTCAAAAACGTGTACAAAGTCAATGGGCTATAAACTTGTTTGCAGAAACACTGCTCCTTTAAGTCGATGTTGCATGATTTTTGCTGAAACTGAACAATGTTTATGGCATATTACTTAATATTCTGACTCTTAAGTATATTTCAAACCAAATAAAAGAGTGCAAAGCTACAACTTTGATAACAATTGAACATCACCAAGTACCCAAAATCGTGCCTCGAAAATGTTCACAAAGTCAATGGGGCTGAGATAAATAAATCAATAATAAATCAATTGACGACATCATCATGACGTCATAAATTTGGACATATTTTTGGATCAGGGTCTTTGTTGACTGTAATTTTGATTACAATTGAAGATTGCCAAATCACCAAAATGGTGTCATGAAAACATGTACAAAGTGAACGGGCTGAAATAAATATTAAAATCAATAATAAATCACTTGATGACGTCATTGTTCTATGCACATATTTAGGAAAGGGTCCTTCATTGATGTAAGTTTGATGAAGATCTAAAGTTGCTAAGGGACTAAAGTTGGTGGTGGAAGAAACGTGTACAAAACAAAGAGGATTTGGGGCAAAAGAGGAAAAAGAGGGGGGGGGAAAACGAACAAAAAAAATGCCTTTGTCACAAAATTGCAAAAAAGCCCCCCCCCAAAAAAGCAACCAGAACAGAAGCAATGCCATTTTTGCAATTTGCGAAAAAGCCAATAATTTTCAAAACCTGAAGTAGGGAAAGTATTAGTCTTATGACTGTACACAGTCTTCTTCCTACTATCCGGACCCAAATTGACAGCGTTGAGTTCTGATGCCAGGAACTAGGCAACAAGTGAGTACAGGTATTTGTACCAAGTAAATGTACAAGAACATTCTTCTATTGGAGAAAAGCCAGAGGATTACAAGAAAGCAGTCAGTGGCTCAATGTACCAGAAGAATTCGAAAACATACCATACAGTTTTCAAGCATGTAGTTATTGGCCCCATGAACAATAAAAGATTAAGACGATTCGATTTGAATTAAACATCTCTACAATGGTAACGATGTTACCCTGGTGATTGTGTTCCGTTTGTCTGTTTATTGCGAGCAGTACTTTAGAATGTGTGGGAGGAGCACATCGGTAAAGGAGGGAGAACATGATCATATCCCCATGACACAAATGGTAACTTAGTCTAAGGCCGAGGGTCTTGTCTAAGAGCCTAGCATTAAAAATTGGTAGGAGTCCAGTGATACCGTACAATACTGGTGGGTACATGTACATGCGCCAAAATCCCTACAATCACCTGACGATAAGATGAACATGTAAACAAGGTTTGACTGGAAATGGAAGCTGCCATGGTTGAAGCTTACCTACATGTACTTCTGTCATGACTGTAAATGATAGATTAGTTGCTGAAGAATACAGCGGCTATCCTCATAGGTGGAAAATGGTGGACAGATGAGAGGAAAAAGGGTGTCTCCAACTTAGTCCAAGGAGTTCCGGCATGTCCGGAACAGTAATGAGTGAAACTGAGAACGAGATTGTGAACGGGTGTGAATATCGTACCAAAGACCTGTGCAGTAGTACTGCTGGGATGGGTAAATATGGCATGACAGTCGTCACAATGACGTTGAGAAGTAGTCCCACGATTTGGAGGGACAGTTACGTAATGGGCCTTTGCAAAGTGTGAAGGAATCCACTGGAATAAACGGGGATAGTTCTCGGGAAACACTGTTGAAATATCTGGATGCTAGTACCCGACGGGCAAAGGTCATTTGGAGAGTAAGTTCAAGCACTTAGATGAGAACAAGGTTGAAGCTGTTGCATTTGATCTGTACCTGCAACAAAAAAGGCTGCTGTGACCGGGTGGGGCTCGCTGGTCATTCGGTACGATTGGATTGAGTGCCGGGTCCCGCCCTCCAGCATGTACATGGACGTTGAATTCCGCTGTTTCCATGTGCTCACATCTGGCTGCCGGAGGAGTGCGGGATTTGCCGGTAGCGCTGGTCGAGACCCGTCACAAGCTTGGCCCTGGAGAATTTCTAACCATTGAACCCAGCATATTAAACTCTGTTGACATGGTGGAAATCACGCTTGGAGGGCCGATCAGGCCGGAGGGACTGGGAGATTTCCCTGGAACGTGGCTTAAATTCACAGTTCTCTGTTGAATTCAGCAAGATTGCGTATGATCATGAAGCTCCATTGTGCATGCATCACGGAAAACACTAGGACGAGTCTTAGTGCTACACGGCCTTAATGGGGGGGACATACAGTGGGTGTGGAAGGTGTGGCTTGGGTGACTTTTTCAGTGAGGTTTGACACGCATGCGCGCTGATATGCAAATGTAGGTAAACAGAGGTGAGGTGTTTTCTGTAATGGAATTCACAAACCTACTTGATAATCTGGATCCTTGAATTGTCTGAGTACCACATGAAGCTAAGTAGCTGTATGCATACTTGCTGGACCAGCACGGCATATCTACATGTAACTATTTTAAACACAATTTGGAAAGTAAGTTTCCATGTGCTTGCCTGATTGGCTAATGTTTCTGTTTTATTATCCCAATTTTTTCCTGTTTGGTGAATGCTCCTTTGCATTTTTTCATTTCCATTTAAATTCCTACAAAATCCCAAATCTAAATTCCCAAAGCACTAATTTTTTAAAATTATTTTCATAGTTTTTATTAGTTTCACAATGGAGGTCACTCAGTGTAGGGACACAGCTGTAAAAGAATTTCAAAATAATGAAATACAAATCTCAACTAAGGGCAAAGTTTCTAATACACACTATCTGCCCCGGGATTAGATGAAACATGGTCTGTTTTGCCCATTTTATGCCAATAGGTTCTCATATACAATATAAAAACTACAGTATACAGGACAAACCATGTGTGTGCACTTCAAGTTCACCACTCTGGATAACACTTAAGCGAAACCATATAACATATTACCCTCCACTGGTATTTTCCAAAGACCCCTTATTGTACAAGATACATGTATCTCAACTAAGATGACAGCAATCAATAAGCCTCCACCGTCATTACTGAAGCTCTCAATGAGGCCAGGCATATGAACATCACCACTGACATTGTCCATTCGATACAAAGAACGCCTCAATATCAAAGTTACAAGGCAGTGTTTCAATATATCGGGGGAGGGTCCATTTGACCCTAGGTTCCATTTTATCTGACTCTTTCCTACATGAACTTGTAAATGTACAGGTAAGTAAAATTCGAATTTCTTATTTTCAGCAAGATGATCACCTACACCTCACATTCACCAGCGCCTCTCATAAAATGATATACATCAGCCAAGCATAGCATGCAAACAGGAAGGTAAATAAATGATCTGATCCGGCAATTTGACAAAAGGTGGATCAGATGCCCCAATTGGTGGATCAAGTGGGAACAGGCTGATATATGCACATGTAACAGACATCTTGATTGTACTTGACAAAAGACTGCTATAGTTTTCCGTTGCCTGCCTGTAAATTCTCTTTACACCTTATTGACTACAGCAATTGCCATGTGTTGATACCACAATGCATCTAAAATCCCACATCATGACAATGGGGTTTAATATTTAATTTTTATAAATCCCACGGCGACCCACTGAAAATGACATACTGTTGCAACCCGTTTTGGTGAGTCCCTGAAATGATGGCTTGTTTTTCTCAACGGGCAACAAACAATATGTCAACACATGCTACATTAGATATTACACAAGGTGCTACACAGAATTCAAAATCTGGCACATGCAGTATGCAATTAATTGTGGTGTTCGAAGTGACTTCAGTTCCCTGTTGAGCAATAAAAACTGTAGTCGTACATAAGCCACTTTACTGTGTAGCAATCTTTTTTTTTCTGTGTACAGTATATTTTAATAAAATCCTAAGCATTACTTTCCAACATACTTTTGAAAACAAACTAAAAAAAGCATGATGTTGACTGGCCAAGCAATTTTTTCAATCAAAAAGCACTTATGACTTTGGTGTCTCTGTTAAGATGGTGTATTTATTTATCTCAATTGCTGTAGTTTCAAATAATTCGTGCAAGTGGCATTTTTTGTTTTTTAAATAGATACTGGTAATATCTAAATAAATAAAAGCAATACAGGGTTTTCAAATTTTGACATCATGTCACGTTATTGGACCCCTTATTAATGGAATGACTCATGCACAATTATTTTAGCCATAATGTCAAAGCACTTGGCTTCACAGATACTTTCAGTTACATAACACTGTAATGCTGACATGTTTCCTCAAACTTATTTTTTTCCTAAAATACCTGATACCTTTTAAATACAGAAATGACTTACCTGCAACCAGCTACACCAAAATCATAGTAGTTGGGCAGACACTGGTTGCACTTGTCACCACCTACTCCGATCTTGCAGGAGCATTGTCCCTGGCTGTTGCACTGAAGATTCAAGGAACCTATAAATGTATCATTTGATATGCAGAATTGATATACACACATGAACATGAGGGGATAATTTAACTGAACTTTCATATCATAACCTCAATGAGAAGTTTAACATTGAATTGAAAGGCCATACAATGTACATGCAGAAATATTACCAAAACTGAAGTTTTTCAATAACCCCAACTACTTCAACATAATAAAAATTCTTCCCCCACATAAGTGTGGGTTGGGTTTCCTAGTGATATTTACCCCATCCAGCCTACATATGCAAATTTCCCATGTGCCTATTACAATTCACTGAAAAGACTTGATTATGCATTCTGCCCCCTGACCCACCACAATGCAATGCGGTCCTGCCACCATGTTGATCCTTCTTTTCGAAGTTCCCCAGAGCCAAAGTGGGGAAGGATGGGCGGGAGCGGCTGGACAGGGGTAAGTATCACTAGGAGACCCGACCCCAAACACTTAAGTGGGGGAGGAGTCTCCTGCGTTCCCCCGTCCAGCCTACTCTGTCATGGCAGAGTAGCACCATATCCTGGAGGAGGGTCGGCGACGGGAGAGTAATTACAAGAGAACATAGGCGGGCGCTACTCAAGCGAACACTCACTATTCTAGAGCAGAGGAATAGCATCTACGATGAGGAATTCTTTGTTCAGTGAGTGACAGCACTGGATGCTGTCCCAATTGCTGAGCGTAGGGTTGCTGCACCGTGAGTAGGTAGCACTCGGTGCAGGTGGAAGGAGATTTCCAACAAGCAGCCTGGCAAATGTCCACCAAGGACCAACACCTCTGAAGAATGACCAGAACGCAGAGGTGGCCCAAGCATCATGGGTTCTGATGTGAGATCAAGTTGTCTCGCCATGTCAAGTCCGCCACTCTTGATTTGCAAAGATGAGGGCCAAGACCTTCCAACGAACTATGGTGTCCTTCGCCACTGGATGAAAGGGTTTTGTGGTGGTGATGAAAAGTCTGGAACCAGTCTCACGGCGATGCTTGGTCCTTGCGAGATACCATTTGAGGGTATGAACCGGGCACCATTTCTTGTCGGAGCTATCTGCCAAAAGAGAGGTTATGTCAGGGACAAAAATTCCGGAGGCTGGAAGACAGGCGTCTGGGTTCTTTGTCAGGAATTCGATGGCTGGGACAAGACAAACTCCATGCAGCTCCCAGCGTATGTGACCTTCAGCAGTTGACAGCGCATGCAGTTCACTATCGTGTCTGGAGGTAACGACCGCCAGGAGCCAGCTTGATGCTAAGATGGAGATCAGATACACCGGACAACGGTTCGAAGGGGGGACCGGCGAGAATGCGGAAGACGTTGCCAAGGTCCCAACAAAGAACAAGGCGTTTGAACGTGAGGATGCTTGTACACGTACATGTATCACAGCCCTACAAGTTGGGAATTAAAAATCAGCTGGTCTTCCGTGTGCGCACTGAACTTTATTTTCCGAAGATTTTTATAGGCAGATCAGAAAATGCAAATGCTGCTTGTGCTAGCCTTGTGCTCTCTTAGGGTCTTTTTTGTCCTTTATATACAACATGTACAAGTATTGTGTGAAAATCTATCTAACAGAAGCCAGGAATGTGTGTTATAAACTATAAAATGATTCAATAAATCTGTATCTGTTTGACATCCACGGCAATCAACGATCTTTTTTATTGTTTTCACAATCGTTCCAACCACACACACAAAAAAGCAAAAACCCAATATTCACTTGTCACTGCTTGTATTTCAGTTTTTCCGGAATATAAAAATTAGGACAACGTGGTTGATCAAAAAGATCTGTCGGTTATGATTAATCAAACACCTTGTGATGTGTTTAGAATAATAAACTTCACTGTCATAGGACAACATGTTTAATGTGCATGTGAAATTTTTAAAAGCAAATACATGTGAAAGCATGGATCCAGGGATTTTTAAAAGACTTTCAATCGCCATGGATGACGACGAAGTCAACAGTAACTAACCTGCACGCACATTTAGGCTTGGATGTACCTGCAAGAATGTGAAGGCTCATCGACTAAAGCCCCCATCCATGTAAGTAGTCTTTCTAACACAAATTGTGTCACGGAGAGACTTTTTTTGTTTAATTTTTTGCCCCTCTTTTGATTTTTGACACAAGCTGCATGACACGATTGATTGGTAGTCCGAGATCACTCGTCCACTGCGGCGCAGCCGCCCGCGCGCGAGATGGTCGCTGAGGAAGCATAATGTCATGAACAAGTACTGCGATTGGATAGCTGTATCTTGCTAAATGTACGTCATGAAAGCGCGCAGTCTCATTCGCGGGCACGCTAGATCTCTTTGCAGCAATATGAATGATTCAGTGTTGGGCGATTAGTTGGACTCTTGTGATGCAAGAATAGTCATGCGAACTTATTTGGGGCGTATTTTATCGGAAATGGGATGGGAATTTTTGTTTTGGGGTTTGTGTTATGAATGTAAAATATCATGGATTTTTAATCGTGCACTATGCGTGTCATGACGACAGGAATCTGGCAATCGCGTTGTAAGCGTGTGTACGATAAGCCTTGAAATCTTGTGGAAGCACACTCGCTTGAGTACAGCAGTACAACTTCAAATTAAATTCATGAACACAGAAAACACAAACATAGACATGAGATCATTTTTTGTGAATGAACCTGCAGAAAAATTTGAGACAGCAGTGTTTTTCGACTTGCAACTACAGAGCTGCATTCGATGTAGTGGAACCTGTACATTGACTGCTTGCCGCATTTCCATCATGCCTTCATTGGCAACGGTTTGGCCCGGCGGGAACCAGTGTGGTGCACCGCACACCTGTTTTCACCACCGGTGTGATGGCTCATTTGCGTAACAACACTGCAATCTCCTCCTCAGGAGCGAGGCGTTTGAGTTTGTCACATGGAGGAGAGGAGCGGACGACCATCCCTGACGGCAGGGAGCTCGTGAACTCGAGGGAGTAGCCGTGAGCAATGGCGGAGAGGACCCAGCTGTCTGCGGTGATTTCCCGCCAGAGCCCGACAAAGTTGCCCAGGTGGCAGCCGACAGGTTCGGGATCGGCGGCCACCAAAGGCAAACGGAAGTAGTCACTGACGCCTTCCCCAGGTAGGACCAGGGGCAGGCCATGAAGAACCACGGCAGGGAGGGTATGGCGGAAAACTTCTATGAGTTGATGTAGGAGGACCTCACTGCAGGGCCGGTGACCGAGTAGCCACCCGGAGTGGATGAATAAAGGGGCGAGCAGCCGGTGGTGCCTGGTTCGCTCGTCTTCTCGGCCGTGGTGGAGGCTGACGGTGTGGAGGTGCAGTTTCACAAAGTGTGATTTTCTTAGCAGTCTCCATACGTTTTACCTCCGACTCAAGGACTTCGGTGAACTTCCCAGCAAAGAGATCGTCCCCCAGAAGGGGGTGGCCCATAAGCCTATTCTTGACGGACCCATAGGGGATATCCATGGCATTCACCGCATTGGATCTGTGGGTAGAAGTGGCCAGAATGAAAATGCGAGAGAACTGTTCGAAGATTGAATTAAGTCCCTGATCAAGGCCTCGTAAAGCTAGGACCGCAAAGTCTGGAGAGACCGGAGAGTCTTCTTCATAGGTCCGGGCAATATACTCCGATAGAAGAAGAAAGGCCGAACATCGGAGGCCAAAGTGGGACGCCATATCAACGCGACGGAGGGACAAGTCAGGGGTAGCTTTGTCCTTATCCCGGAGGGTTTTCGCCTTGCTAGACTTAAACAAGATCTTGTCTCTGGCAGCGTCAGGAATATGTTGGGTTGAAAGGAAGACAGAGACATCCTCCTGAGGAAACCAGTGATAACATGAAGCTCTGGGCAGGAATGCGTGCCAGCATTTATCTCCGCGAAGACGGGCTCAGCTGACTCAACGTGTGAAGGGTGGTGCTTGAATGAAGCACATTCATGTTCTGTCGGCATAGGATCTGATGACGGGAGCCGCTTCTTGGACTTCATCGAAGCAGGGGGGACTGGAGGCCGGCATGGGCAGAGGAAGGGCCGGACAAGGATCCCCGGAAAGGTCGGTCGTCTCTTGCGAAGAACGTTCGAGATCAAGATCAGTAGGCTCATGACCGGAATCCACTTGTGGTTTGGAGCTGGGGATGAGCTGTGGCGGAGGGAAACGCTGGCGACGTAACAGTCCAGAAGGGGCACCATCGTCCGAGGCAACGGGAGGCTGGAGAGCATGCAGGGTTGTAGGCTCGCCCGTGACTGAAGCGGTGGAGCGTGGTGATTCCGCTGTGGAACCCACTGTCCACCTGGAGGGAGTTGACTGGCCCGACTTCTGAGCGGATATCACCCGAGTGAGCAGGGGCTGGTGAAAGGCCCGGGGCAGACGGCGGACCATTGCCCCACAGGCCCCGCTGAGCCATCGGTTGGTAGGGCCGTCCAGGGAAGCGGTAGTTAGGAATGCCCGGAACCTGCAGCATAAAAGGAAGGGATGGCTCATTACTCCCGACAATAGTGATCAAAGGCATTGATGCGGAAAATCCACTCAACCCGATGAGTCGATGTAGCCTTGGGGCCCCACCACCTCAGGCCCCTGGACTGTTTGGCCGCACTGCGGCCAGCGGTCGCGGCGCCGGGAGTGGGCATAGAAGACAACGGCAGAAGACCAGCAGGCTTGGCTTGGTGGTGGGTAGGTGGGTGGTAGTCATCAGTGATCAAGGGCTTTATTATGGAACCGCATCCTCAATCCTGGTAGTGGTCATCAGAGATCACAGGCTTCATGGTACTCCGGTCCACCTGATTTATAGAGGCTGTTTTGATCTAGGAATCATGGTACTCCGGTTCTCTCTAGTCAAGGAGGGTATTGATCATGTTTCGCAGTACTCCGGTCCGCCTGATTGTGACGATCCAGGCTCGGGGTGCTTCAGCCCCGGCCTACTCGGGTCTCTCCTCGTCGAGGCTGCTAATCGGAAAACGCAGAACTGCACCACAGGGGAGTGGGGCGGCTCAGTAAGCCCCGCTCCGTGGCCAGACCTGAACTGCGTTGGGCCGTCATTGTTCGAACGCACCCACCACATAGTGAGCAAAGGGCCCTCCAACCCTTTAACGGCAATACCCACATAACACATCATGGTAGGTCACAACCCAACCTATATATGATGCACAGAAAAGAAAAGGGAGGCAGAAAAGAACCACAAGAACACATAGCATGCGAGAAACGAAATAAGCAAATAAGCATTCTTACCAATAGACAGGAAAACACTCTTTATTTCGTAACAGGAATCAAGTCAATTCAATAGCATGAAAGGTACGGAACTTGAGAATTCAAGGAGTCATAAAAAACATCCGTAAACTATAGGCGCTGAGAAAAGAAGGACAAACATGGCAGCGGGACCGCATTGCATTTTGGTCGGTCAGGGGGCAGCATGCATAATCAAATCTTTTCAGCAAATTGTAATAGGCACATGGGAAATTTGCATATGTAGGCTGGACAGGGGTATGTGTATGCAGGAGACCAATGAAACTACTATGCAATACAATACAATTTGGAAGATTTACAAGTGGGACTGCACACGATAGCAACAATTTCCCCACTTCTTACGTAGTTTACCGCCCTAAATTTAGTACAGAAAATGTATAGTGTAAATGCGCAAGTATAGTTTACAGCAGTATGATAGATTTGAGGGTATTACTGAGTTTCCTGGTATTAGACTTTCCCAATAATATGAGCTGTGGCACATATGGGTGATGGCATTAGTCCACAACCTGCAAACACAGGAACACAATTTGTTCATACTCTCATTGTGAACAATATAAAGTTTTTTTGAAAATTCTTTAAGGTCAGAGGCCTTACACTTCCTAACATTAATATCGTGCAAAAGAAAAAAAGATGTATATAGAAAAAAATTATTTCAACAGATCTCTGCATACCTTAAAAAAGTGCCTTTGATTGTGTCAATGCACTTCTGCACTTCCACTTTTCCTGACATAAGTTACCATAAAATATTTTAAAACACCACATGGTGACTACTGTAAAAGGACTAACAGCAATTTATCCCTCAGCAAATGCAAATGTACCCAATGAAACAACAATAATAATAATTGCACTCCCTCCAGAATCAATCTATTCAAGAGCACATTACATATCTAACAACTTAGGCTCGATATCAAAAGATTTTAATTAATGCATTTTTCCAAGTCACCTGTCCACCCTCTACAAGCGGCGCACCCAGACCAGTCCCCAGCTCATTAAATATCCCTATCGTGCATTTGCAATTGTTAGGTTAATGAGCAGCATGAATAGGGAAATGAATAGGGAATGAAATGAAGTGAGTCCCAAGTTCCAAGCAGGGGATGGTGGGAGGGAACCTAGAAAAGTGTCTGTCTTTGAAATTTAATCAGATCAAAAGTTCAGATTGAATTTCACGGTCTGAGTAGATTCATTTTCCTACATCCAGATCTGAAATTTATTCAGTCTGCCTTCAGCTCAAATAGACCTCAAATTCCAGTGAAATTGTCAGTGTGCTGTGAGCAGGAGATACATGTACATGTACTACATAAACATTACTGTTGTTTTAAACAATCTGAATTATTATAATGACATTTGTTATCTGAACTTTCTGCAATAACTCACCAACTGGATCACAATTGCATGGTTGGCAAACAGCATCAGAGGAAGTTTGAAAGTAGTTGTCACGGCAACGCTCACAGTTTGGACCATCTGTGTTCCCCTCACAATCCTGGCAATGACCCCCATGCCCAGTACGGTCATAAAGTTCTCGGTCAAAGTAGCAGCGGTTGGACCGACCGTTGCAGTCACAAGCTGTTATTGAAATATACAAAAAAGTTCCTCAAAATCAGAACATACACTACATCTCACATTCAGTATAATATAGCCCGTGTGTTTGTGGGCAAAGAGAGGCAATCTGATTTCCAATCCGAGGCAAATTTGACATTTTTCCTGAAAGCTATCAATATGTAATTCTGTCATTTAACATCTGAAACTGTGGGGCCTCCCCAGTCATGCCTGTAGTGATGCAATATTTGAATTTTCTGTAGTTGTCTTGTACAGAATGGACTGTATTTGTCTTGTACTGAAACTGTCCTTCACAAAATCAATTTCTGATGTCGTTTTTGGAATGAGAGAAAAATCCTTTTCTGCAAACCAAAATTCTGTTATTTACTAGTGTTATTATGGTAAAAGTAAACCGAAATTGGCTTACTTAAAACACAAACTACATGTAATGCTGTTAACAAAAATGGTGTTCGTAGCGAAAATATATTAGGGGGCACCCTCGTAGAGAGGCCACAAATATGTCTGCCGAGCTCATTAATAAAAGTTCTATACTTAAGATACTCTACATTAGGGAGTCCTGAGAGCCATGGAATTGGGGAATTGAAGAAATACGGCACTAAACCTCTGGCCTGGACTTAGGGTTTCCAATTCTGAGCAATTCTCATGCAATCCAGTTTGAAAGGGGCACTATTTAGAAGTTTTGCAGAAGGATGCTTTTTCGAAATATCCTTGATTTTAGGGGTGGTCTGCTTGAGTGAGAACTTCTCAAAAAGTCATTGGTCAACCAACAAAAAATTGAAAATGTATTTTTAAAAGAATTTTGAAGTATAGGGATTTATCACTGGTGTCTACGGGTATTTACTTACTGGGGTGCACTCATAAGACTTCACTGTTCCCCACACCACATTTCATATACACAAACTAACATACAAGTAGTACCAGCACGGCTGTGCAACCTCGTACCCAAGGTCACTCCAATACAATGCAGCGGAAATGACACCCGAACCATGGGAAAGATCATGGTAATGTACTCCATGGGGCACATTTAATACTCATGTACCAAGGCAAACATCTCATCTCTCTTTTTTGTTAAATGACAACTCCGGTACCAGACCTCTCAGGACCACACAAATTCTCATCCATTAAAAGAGTAAGAGATTATTGATTAAAAATAACTTCAATTAGGCCAATATTTCCAAGTTATGTGTATAAATGCAGAGCAGTGCTCTGACCGAACTGTCCACAGAACACCAGATCTTGGGCTCGACCACGCATGACACACAATTTTCAGTCTGCGTTCAGTTTCTGTCGGATTCACCACTCATCATTTTTTACCAGTTACAAAGCATTTGAAAGCCCTTTCGTGTTGTCTGTAATATTTTCTGAAAGAATATGAGTGCTCTCACTTCTGGCATGTGTTGAGTGAGAAACTGGTTGAGCAGTTCAAAACTTGCATACAAGAGAAGAATTTTACCTTCAAATTTTCCTTGAAATTTGCCATCATTTCACAATAAACATTTCGTAATGAAATTTATGCTTAGTCTCTAATGTAATGAGGGTTCAGGCCAAAAAAGTTTCAGTTTCTGGTCAGTGTAGGTGTGTCGCTGTAGACCTTAAAGTCAGCCAAATAAAAATGTTTTATTTGACATAAAAAGGTGTCCAAAAGCTGCCAAACTTGCTTAATCGACTAGAATCCTACTAGTGCATAATTTTATGTGTTTTTGATGGGGTACAGTTGAATAATATGTAAAGTAAAGGAGTCCCTCTAGTTCCCCATACATTTAGTCAGGCACTCTTTTTGAGATGACAACATTTCTGTATTATACATCTGCATCTGGGAACCAGACAAATGAGGTGTCTTATGTTCTGTGTATATGTACAAGTTGAAAGTGCTTTTAAACAGTAAAAAGTGAGGGGGCAGTTTATTTGAGTGTTGGTTGCAGCTGGCATTACATGTGCATGCACTTGTGATGGACATTGCGTGTTATATGTAGATCATTTCCCCCCCAAAAAGTGAGGGTAAAAAAAAAAAATGCAGCGTCGCTGCACCACTTTTGGAGCCAGGTCCTGACCAGAAACCAAAGACTTTTTCCCAATAAACATATTGTCATATAGTAGTGGAAACTGTAGGAACTTTTAAAGTTTATTTGTGCATACTGCAGATTGCTTTACTTTCCCTGTGAGGTACACAGGATGGGCGAAGCATATACATGTTGCACTCTGAGTGGTAGGCTCCTTGGTTTGAGCATGATCAATGCGAGTGCGTAAAGTGGGTGGAGCGTGCTTTGGAGTTCTTTCAAGTGTCAGCAAAGCCGTCAAGATGTGAGTCAGCACAGTATCTGAATGTCATTTAAATTATGCAAATGTCATGAAAAATTACTATAAAACACTAGTTTTTCACCCATACTGAGACAGTTGCCAGGAACAAATAAATTATCAGTTAATCATGCCAACAATGGCACAATGTATCAAAGAATGCAGTGAACTACACTTAGAAGAAGCAGGAGGAGTATGGAAACACAAAGCTGCAGCCAGGTAGAGGCAGGAAACAGCTTTCTAAAGCGAGGGATGATGCTGTCTCATCCACTCCAGTCGATAAATCGATGATTGATCTCCAACGACTTTCAGAAGGTGTGGGAAAGTTCAGCAACTGTGAGATGTTCCTCAAGGACAGTCTGTAACAGACTCCTGGAAGCTGGCTGGCCAAGAAGAAGCCCTTCATCAATGAGAAGCAGAGGAAGAGCAGGCTACAATTTGCCAAAGCACACAAGAATTGGACAGTTGATGACTGGGCTAAAGTTATCTTCAGCAATGAGTCTACATTTCCAGTTGTTTCCAACTCTTGGCCATGTGATGGTCAGAGGAAGGTCTGGGGAAGCCTACAAGCCTGAATGTTTGATTCCTCCGGTGAAATTTGGTGATGGTTCTGTGATGATATGGCACTGCTTCTATAAGACTGTAACTGCACAAATGCAATTATGGGAAAGATGGATGTACCAGGCCACCTACAACCAAGTTCTGGAGGAAAGTCTACTGCCATGAGCCCAGTGCCTGTTTCCCAACTCTAATGATCAGGTTTTTCAGCAAGACAATGCCTCTTGCCACACAGCAAAGTCAGTTAAGGCATGGATGACAGATCATTACATCCAGATCATTACCTGGCCTGCTCAGTCACTGGACGTAAACCCAATTAAAAACTTGTGATACAGCACAAACAAAAAATGAAAGACCACAACAAGCCATCAAACAAAGCAGAGCTGTTTAAATTTTTGCGTCAGGAGTGGGCAGCAGTGACAATGATAGAATGTCAGAGGCTAGTAGAGAGCACACTGAGCGCATCATTGCTGTCATCAAGAGCAAAGGCCATGCCACCAAATACTGATATCTGACAGACCATTACAAGTCCAGACACTGTTAACTTTGGTAATAAGAATTAATAGGGGTGTAACGCTACCACTTTTTTCATGATATGATACGTATCGCGATACTTGGGTAGTGATATGTTATGCATCACGATACTTATCGTAAAAACAAAGAAACCAACAAGACAAAAGCCAATTTAAAACAATTCACTAGGTAACTTACCAATGATAACTTACTAACTTATAGGTGATGAGGACAAGACGCTTCTGCAAGGTGAGTCAGAAAATTAAACACAAAACTGCATTTATTTCTCCAAGTGTTTCTGGTTTATAAACATTAGCCAAACAAGGTAATAGCTATGCTTCCTAATACATTAAAAAAAATAAGTTGGGTGGGTGGGTTGGCTTGGGCGGTATTTCAGTATTACCGAATACCACGTTTTTAAAAAAATACCAAACAATACTGACTAACAATTCATGAATAACGGCTAATTTTGAATTGAATTTCAATACCTCGGTATTCTGGCTAATTTGTTCAGAATATTCCCACAACCATCTGAAGATGAAAGCAGACAATTATATCCACAGCAGTGACTGCATACTTTGTGGTTTCAGTCACTCAGCATCGTGTTTGTATTGTCTCTTTTTATGTAAGATGTAACATGATACTTCAGCATGCAGCCATCAACCCACCCATCACAAGATTTTCTTTTTCTATCCCCGCTGTGAATTTGTGGTTTTGGGATGAGCTTGTGGGCTGTGCTTGTTGTATTGCTCACCGGCATATATACGCAAATGTATCACAGCCCTACAGCTTGGGAATTATAATTCAGCTGGTCTTCCGTGTCTGCAGTGGACTTTATTTTCCAAAGACTTTCATTAGAGGATCAGAAAGTGTGAAATGCTGCTTGTGCTAGCCTTGTGCTCTCTTAGGGTCTTTTTTGGCCTTTATATACAACATGTACAAGTATTGTGTGAAAATCTATATAACAAAAGCCAGGAATAAACTATAAAATGATTCCATAAGTCTGCATCTGTTCGACATCCACGGCAATCAATGATTATTTTAAAATTGTTTTCACAGTCGTTCCAACCACACGATAAGAGAAGCAAAAACTTGTCACTGCTTGTATTTCAGTTAGTCTGGAATAAAATGAGGACAACATGGTTAATCAAAAAGATCTCAGTTATGATTAATCAAATACCTTGTGATGTGTTTAGAATAATAAACTTCACTGTCATTGGACAACATGTTTAATGTGCATGTTAAATTAAAAAATATATATATATGTGACAGCATCGATCCAGGGATTTTTAAAAGACTTTTAATTGCATTGGATGACGACGAAGCCAACAGTAACCAACCTGCATGCACATGTAGGCTTGGATGTACCTGCAAGAATGTGAAGGCTCATCCACTAAAGCCCCCATCCATGTAAGTAGTCTTTCCAACACAAACTGTGTCAAGGAGAGACATTTTTTGTTTAATTTTTCGTCTGTCTTTTGATTTTTGACACAAACTGCATGAAATGATTGCTCCACAGTCTGTGCTCACTCGCCCACTGTGGTGCGGCCACCCGCACACGAGATAGTTGCTGAAGCATGATGTCATGAACGAATAGCTGTGTCTTGCCAAATGTAAGTCATGAAAACACACAGTCTCAT